AGGCTACCGATGTTGGCGTCTATTTTCAGCTACGTACATTCATTTTGCCCCCAAAAAAGTCGATGCCCCCCCCGTCGTTTCAACCAGCCAGCCATTTGTAATCCATAGGGGGGCGCAGAAGAAAAAGTTTGGGAAACACTGGTCTAAAGTAATAAAAGTTTTGGTTCTCCATGTTTGATTTCATAAAGTAGGTGGTCCTAACTGTTAATCTAAGGTAGTGAGTAGTTTCTCTAGATTAGTTTCTCTGGATTTTAAGTTTGTTTTAATTCCTTTTCTGGGTTGCAAGATAATTATAAGTACTCCATAATTTATATTCTAGAAGGAGTTTCTCTGCATAATAATCTAAAAAGTATAATATTAGTCTAAATAGTGAGTACTCCATAACTTCTAAAAGTAATGAAATAAACTAGACAGTGCAAGGACGAGAGGAAAAGACATGAGGGAAGTATGGACATGTAGCAACATTCAGATAATACATGTTTGTAAACATAAATGTGTTTTCATCACAATACCAAACTCTTTCTGTGTCAGCTGTAATTAAATATTACCTTTGTTCATCTCCCTCGTTCATGTCATGCAGCAACACATAATACTTGAGTGTGTTGGGGATAAACCACTTTGGGTTAGTGTATTCTCCACTGTGCTGAATCTTGTGCTGCTCCTGGGAAAGCTTGAGGAACTGCTCCACTGGAACAGCCTCAGTGGATGACACCACCAGCAAGCCTGGAGTTTGTCAAGGACATAAAACATTGGTTTGCTTTACAAATTTATACCTTACTTTTTACTTTCCCCTATTATCAATATGTCTTTAGAATTGCTTTTTTAAAACAAATAACTACTGTGAATCTGTAGATCATTAGGAATAAATAAGATTTCACCCTGTGGCCCACACTAGTGGCACAAACATGGGAAATCAGAAAGTGTTCTAATTGGTGAATAATATTAGAGCTGGAAAACTATGACAACACAGACATAGACAGGCACAAAGTGTTAAGCAGAAAGGATACACGCCAGGTAGTGATTCAGGAACTCATGGTCAGAGGCAGGCATGGACTGCAGGAAGTTTTCCCTGTAGGCTTCAAACCAGGGTGTCGTAACTAAACCACAAACAGTTTCAGCAAAAACAAAAAAAAGAAAACACAAATCATCCAGTAGCCACACTTCAGCGTAATATTTTTTATATTTACCGTAACATCAGGGGCCACATGTATAAAAGAGTGAGCAGTTTTCACATTAAAACTCGGCATATGGACAAATTTAGAAAAGTGCGTTGCACAAAAAAATCCGGATGTATAAAGCCGTGTGCACCTTTCCTTTAGAAATCCCAAATTTGCAGGGAATAGAGCAGATGCTGGTCTGATCTGTCGCCACCCATAAATAAATATGTAAATTAGTATAAATACCTGGAAGTCTGACACCACAAGAAGCAATAACCATGGCAACGTCCTTGTTTGTGGCAGTATAAGTCTTTATAATAGTACTAATTATATATTTTATTAAAAGGTGCTTTCAGGTCACCTTACAAAAATAAAAATACATTTAAAAGAAAAAAAAATCCAAATTAAAAAATAAATAAATAAAGAGATTGTTCAAATGCCTGTCTGAACAGTAGAGCGTTCAGCCGGGATTTAAAGACAGACAGCATGTCAGAAAGTCCTTAGAGTGGGAATGTGGATGTTTATTCTAAATAGTGGAATCATGTGCATAAGTTGTACATTTACAGAGAAGAGATGCTTTCTGTCCATAAAGGCTCATTCACAAAGCGGACCTGGCTCGACTGAAGGATGACTGCAGCTGGACTGGTACCACAGGCTCCTTCTTTAAGTTTTGCTCAGAGCTCCAGGATGATCAGTCTGGATTAATCTAAACTGTAGTAAACAATCATCATCATTTCCCAGCAGATCTCTGATCAATTACTCCATCTGAATCCTTCCATTGGTGATGTTCTCCATCAGAGCCAAAGCGCTCCTTTGATTGTCTACACACCTTGATCACCTTAAAAATAATCAAACCTGAACTGTTTGGAGTTAATCTGCTTATCCAACCCTGTTTTCTTTTTTAGTGAGAATGAAATGACCCCATAGATCCATGAAATGAGGTCTATGGGGTCATTGCGTCTTCGGCTCACAGACCAATGTGTTACATCTTTATGAGACAAAAACTGAGTAAAAGTGTTATTTACATTCGAGTGAGGTTTTCACATCCTTCTATTTTCAATTTCTTTATTTTGTGTGCGTGTTAGCTCACTGTCCGAGGACAAATATGGTTCAGTTTCCTCATTTACGTTTAAACAATAAAATATTAAAATCATGAAAAAAACATTGGGTTTGATGCTTCTTGGTAACAGTGAATGTAGTGAATGTAGTCAGATTTCAGTGTATTTAGGTGAGTTTTGATGCTTTGTAGTTTATTGTTCAAAGAAAAAGTTTGCGTGGCTGTCGCACATTATTTTCATGCCAGGGGAAAAAGTGTGGTATATTTAACCAAACTGTTACAAATTTAATTTTTATACATGTTGATTTGTTCGTAAAATATGGCGTCGCACATTTTTTGTGCGTACGCTGCTTTATACATGAGGCCCCTGGATGTAGATGGTGAGGAAGAGCTTAGATATAGACTGTTATGGTCATCTGAAAGATTTATTTGTGTATTTTTAGAATATTTAAATAATCAGGTATCTGTAACCTGAAACTCCAAAAAGACTAACCAGTATATGTTGAACTTACCATTTAAATTTAAATGATAGTCTCCTGTCCTCATAGCGGTGGTCTGTGCAGCCTCCTGTGGCTGACAGGAAAACACCACTTCACTGAGAAGACGGTTCTGGGAGGCTCCGAGGGAAGCAGATGGACTGGGACTGGTCACCACATTGCTGACACAGATCCGTAAGTTCTTCACAGTCTGGAGCTGGTTGTTTGGATCCCGGATGTGACCTGAAGAAGAGAACACTTTCATTCTGATCTGCCAAGATCATGAGTCACTGCTGCTGATTCCCTCGGCCTCTTTAAGTGACTTGAGGCTCCTGCTAAAACTCAACCACAGTTGGTTGGTTCATTCTTTCTTTCACAGCTCTTATCTTGACACAGCTTCAACAATATTGCACTGTAGAAGCCCATTGCTCCCCCAGTGGCCTAAACTGGAACTAGGCATGGGATGAGCCCCAGGGTTCTGGAGGCCTATACATTAGCCTGACAGACAGTTCCAGCATTTACACACATAACCTGCCTATCCCAGCACAAAAGAGTACAATAAATTTACAAAAATTGCAGGTTTATGACTAGATGAAAACAAGTTAGCACTGCTGTAAAGAACAGATGAAGAATATTCTGACAAAGCATAACTGAAGCCACACAGAATTATTTTAAATTCAAAATGTTTCCAGAAGATATTTAATGGCTCGCACATATTTTCAACAGACGCTCCCATTGATTTGCTGAACACTATTTTAAATGTCTGATGCCATCAGACTGACCAGACAGCTGATTTAATGTCACAATGCAGTACCTGCAGAGAAAACTGATTGCAAAGTGCAGCTTGAGGAATTCAGATAAATACATAGTATTCTTCATAGTGGTTAACCTGGTAACTGACCACAGCAGCAAGTAACTCGCATTGATTTTCACGTTTTACTGATAAAACCCCATTTCTATAGAATTTCAGGTCATTCTCAGAACTAACTGCTAATTTAACCACAAGATTTGTTATAAACACATTTATCAGCTGGAATCTAATGAAATCAGTTCCATACACATAGTGCTGTGAACTCCCTTTCAGTGAACACGCTATTATACAATTATACAGCACATGTGCAGCGTTGGTGTTAGTCCTACTAACATATTTAGTGTCATTACAGATCAAAAAAGTGCACACAGCAGACCCCTCCTGCCTGTCTGACTCGGGCTTCGTTAATCAGGTAAGCTAGTGCAATGTTAGCGTACAGCTACCGTTGCTAGCATCGTGTTACGCTTTGGAAACAATTTTCCACTAAAGCAGCTTGTATAATAGCTAAGAAGAGGATTTCAGACTCATACCTTCGGATGTCAATCGACAGAATGGCCTCAACAGCTCTACAAAATTTAGGTTGTTCTTTCGAGTGACTCTTTCCGCTTCACCGCTACATAACACGGCTATCATGGGGACAAACGAATCCTGAATGAATTCGTGTACGGAGAGAACACACTGAGCCATGTCGTACTAGAATAACAAGCAACCCTTTTTTTTTTTTTACAAACTAAACCGGTGGTTCGCTTAATAACAACCTATCTAAACGGTTGATATCTGGTGAAAACTAGCAGGCGGCAGCCATATTGTCGCGAACCCTCTTCCTGTGTAGTCCTGAGGCTGTCAGGTGACTGCAGATATATGTTTTTTTTAAGAAACTTTATTTAGAAGCGCGATAAGAGTATAAGCAACGGAACGACAGACAGATAACCTGAAAAGTGATTTATTAAGACAATATCTAAATTAGAATTTAGTTCAGACTTCTAAACCACACCATAACTTCATTTAGTTTTGATTACTGGATCAGACTTAATAGAGCAGCTGAGTTAGCTCTTGAAGGGTTGCACAGACAGGGAAAAATAACAGATACATTAAATAACAAAGTTGCTGTCATGTACGTGAAGCATTGCCCTGATCCAGAGTTGTCTTACGCCCTGAAGTGCAAACCCATCCATGAGTGGACTTCCTACAGCTAATTATCTCTCTGATCATTGATGATTATCAGAGAGAGCTGAGGGCTGCAAACGGAGTCAGTGGTACTGCTCAGTTGAAATTTAATAATACAGCCATCACCACAGAGCAACCAGGTCACACATCAGCCTTTTCAATGTCTGGAGAATATCATGCCCAGTCTGCCTACTGCTTCGCAGCCACAGAATGGTTCCAACCCATCCAACCACAGCCTGCAGTCCACCTAGACATGAACATTCAAGCTGCATCTTATCACAGTCACCTGTAGAATATTTAACAATCAGAAGAGAGACTTCTCAGCCGCATGGTTGATATGTTTCAGAATAAGATGAAGAAGGTGCAGCAACATGTCACACAGCCTGTGAGGAGAGGGAGATTTCAGTAGTCTCCATGTCACAGGTGTCCCAAGGAGTCAGCTTGTAGAGTTTGCAATGAACCAGGCCACACTACAATGTCTCACTGTTTGTCTGACAGACTTTGTTTTGCTTGCCTTGCCCCTGGTGATGTTCAACTGTCTTGCCCAGTTAGTAACTCTACCCATGCTCAGTTAAGGCAAACTAACTGACCTGTATTTGGTGGAGATGGGGGAGCACAGATCTGACAATGTGTCAACTCCCAATGTGTGAATATTTCTGATGTAGTCGGTGTACACATGTTGGAGTTCATTCACTTTTATCTTTGTGCACCTCCCAGGTTTGTTAACCAGTTTCAGGACCCGACCAGAACCCCTTAGTGTAAATTACCTTGAGAAATAACGTGATTTGGTTATGTAGTGGTATAGAAATATACAAAATTCTACACAAATAGTTTCCAGGTGAGAAGTTCTGGTTCTTAAAGTGGGCTTGGTGTATATAAGGAGCTGCTGCGTTCATTCAGGCTGCCAGAGTCCTGTGGGCTCTGGCAGCGAANTATTTAGGTGAGTTTTGATGCTTTGTAGTTTATTGTTCAAAGAAAAAGTTTGCGTGGCTGTCGCATATTTTCAGGGGAAAAGTGTGGTATATTTATGCAAACTTTGATGCAAAGTTTATTTTTATACATGCCGACTTGTGGGTATAGTATGGCCGCACATTTTTTGTGGGGTACACATGCTTTATACGTGAGGCCACTGGTCTTGTAATCAAGACATGAGAATGTGAGTGTGAATGGGTGAATAACTGAATGTACTCTAAAGAGCTTTGGCATCTTCTGGATTTGGTCAAGCGTGATACTAGTACATGCAATTCACTTGGGACTGATGGTCTCAGGGGAAAAGAGAAAAGCTGTCAGATCCGAGTGACTTGTGGAGGTGACCTTGTGAACAAATTGACCTTTGTCCTGTTTTTGGCAGAGGCTCCCTGTTTCTGATTTACAGTGTAGAAATGGCTCATGTGAACAGTTTTATTCCAGACTTATTTTGAAGAGATGGCTATGCAGCGACAAGATTCTGTGATTATCAAAGATGGGACAGCAATGCATCTTTTTCTAAATCATTCATTAATGATAGACAATCTGCTATAGCTCTAATTTCCACATCAAGCCGTCAGTAGTGGTCCACTTGAAAACACATTGACTTTGAGGTTTCTAATTTTGGTTACTGAATCATCAAAATATTTAACCTTCTGCTTGGCAACATCAAGAGCTCCTGCATGAATGACCATATTTTCAACTGCTGGATGTTCATTCATAATTGTCAGTGTTTTCTCAGACATGTCAGACACCATGTGATGGGAAAAGTACTTTGATCGTTTTCCAAATGCAAAACAGTATAATCCTTTTCAGTGCCCCATCACTGGCAGTCAGTAACTTTGGGGCATTTTCTCGCTCCTGAGCGACTTTAGGAGGAAACTGTTTAGATTTCATCACACCTCTACTTGGTGTTTAAAGTTGTTTTCCCTCCTAGATTCTTGTTGAAGTGCTTGTTATGGCTGCTGCAGCCTGCTGTTTCTTTCTCCTTGGTACCGGTGTTGAGACGTTTCTCTCTCTTAAATATTTTGAATCAATAATAAGGTTGTCTCGTTTTCATATCCAGCATTTGTTTCCACATTTACTTCAAGTTGATGAATCATTGAGTGTTTAGAATATAAAAGTAACTACAAAAGCTGAGTATCTAGAACAACTTTCAAATGGAAAAAACTGTCAAAGGATCAAAAGGGTCCTCGAGGACCAGAGCCCTGCATCTTTTAGATGTCTCTTGTCCAACAGATTTGAATTTAATGGTGAAACTGCCTCACTAGCATGCATGTATGCAGGAGTTAAGCCGATATCTAGCATTGGAGTCAAGTGTGCTGAAGCAGAGAGACAGTTAAAAGGCAGGATACCGAGCCTCAAGGTCTGCATTTGAGACCGCTGCTATAAAATGAAGTCATTGATCAGTTTCAGGGCCAGTTTCAGCCCAAGACCCTGAAACTGCTTATGCAGGACGCTTTATCAAAAAGATTTGTAGAGCTGCTAATAGAAAACTAGCTTGAAAGGGTTGTGACTTTGAATGGTCCAGTTCAACAACCAAACTTTTATACTAACGTCTTTGTATTTGTGTGAAACTGAGTTTTAACTTTAAACAAGTTGATTCTCATGATTGGCTCTATTTATTTCTGAGATTTTTTTGGCTTCAAAAAGGCGTGTTTGATAACAATTAAAACTTCTCAACCTTTAACATTGTTTAGCAAAATGTTTTTACATCAGGCTACATGGCTACTACATTGGCATAAGGTACTCAAAGTTGTAGTTGGTGATATGTTGTTTGCTGCTGAGCATGATGTGGCTAAAACAAACATCATTTTCACAAATGTGCCATGAGAAGCCTCTTGAGAAGCACTGCTAAAATTATTTTAAGGCACAAAATCAGCCCAGTACTGGTCCACATTGTCAGGCGAGAAAGAATTACCTAGTATAAATGTAAATTTTAGCTATTGGAATTATGCCTAAGATAAATTAATTTAATCAAAGTGTGTCAACAATATGAATATGTGTATGTATTCCATCTTAAGTGCATACTAAACAGCACAGTCAGAGATGTTATAAGTTTATAGAAGGTATGCAAATGATCTAATCATCTGACTATGATTGCAGCAATCCACATTATTGGCAAAAACAGAGGGCCCCAAAACCAAATTTTGCTTAGGGCCCCATGGAGGCTTAGCTGGCTCTGATCTATTTAGCTAAATAAAATTGTGGCCTTTCTTTATTTCTCAGCTTTTTTCTGCCTTTTCACTCTTCTGATGTAGTTTTCTTGCTGATACATTGTTTCTAACCAACGTTGTGAATGGGTTGTGGCAAACCAACTTTTATATGCAGTCAGCAGCTGCAGACCTGCAAACTTCATGTTGCCTTCAGATTAACTTCAAGAACAGTATGTATACAGCATCATGGAATAGCTTTTTCAAAGACAAGCATCTGCATCCAAGCCATACCTTACTATGTGTAATGCAAAGCCTCAGATAGTGGAGGAAACCACACTGCTATGGGGCTCTAGAGCAGGGGAGATGAGTTTTCTGTAGTGATGGATCCAGTTGACAAGTTTGGGTTCAGCAGTTGCCAGGAGAACAGTAACCCCACCTCCATTGTGTCTTTGAAACTTCATCAGTCTTCCTCTTCATTCATCTGTCTGTATCTTTATGTGTCCCAAATCCCACCTCATCTCATCTCTCCATCAGGGCACCCACCTCAACAAACTTCGTTGCAAGCCGTTTCCAGATGCCTCACCAATATGTGACTGTGCGGTATGTTCCTGCTACTCTTAAGAAGGGGTGTCTCACTACAATCAGGCTTCACCCCTGTTCGCCAATCTGCTTGCTACCATCAGTCTTGATCTCTTTCTTTGCAAATCTACTGTCTGTCTCTTTATATCTACAAACGGATTAATTTGAGTGTTTTGCCCAGCCAATGTCGGTAACAGTAACCATGATTTTGGACTGTAGATAAGCAAGCGTAATAAATACTTTCAATAACTAGGAAAAGCAAAGTCCTGAAATCTCAAAATTTTTTAAAATTCAAATGTGAGCCAGATCTCTGTGATTTCATATTCTTGCTTGACTTTTGACAGGCTTCTGCCTCCATGCTTGTTGGTTTGGCTGTGTTGGGTGTTTCAGCTAATTGTCATTGTGCATTCTTTCCAAGTCTGTCTCATTCCTGAAAAAACAAAAAAAAAAAAAAAAAAAACAACACTTTTCATACTTTCCTTACGTCTTTGTCAGGTTGGAGTTTGATCAAAGGCTTTGGGACAAGTGACCAGAGCTACTTTCTGCTAAGAATCTCTTTATTTTTATTTTTTTGCTTAACGGGTCATTCTGCTCTTGATCTGTCCCTAAAAATGAGCTTACCTTGGGACTGTTCCACATCTTGTTTAAATGCTTTTTTCCATGTGGTAATGTGTTTGATTTAAAGCTTTTAAGTGACTTTTGATTCTGTTTTTATAGTCCCCTTTTAATAAGGTTGGAGCCTGATATGATTTTAAGTCCTACGAATGAATTGATGAGAAGATGAGAGGTAGAACCAAAGATCAATTTATTTTCACCAGTTTGGCTATAGAAAACACATCAACACGCGGCTTTCACAAATTTGAGTCCCAGCCCCATGACCTTGGCGATATGTTTACCCTTTATCACAACCTGCTTTCCTGTCTGACAACTGTCAAATAAAGGCCATTCAAGCCATCAAGCCTAGAAATAAATACATCAAAAACTCCCAATGTCTTTAGATACATTCAGCATATTTAGTTTATTTTGATCATCCTCGATGATATTTGTGAAGTCTTCAAATCAAATACTTGGACCTCCCCAGGATTCCCTGTCGGCTTATTGAAGGTTCACCTCTGCATAACATTTGAAACCATTTTTTCAGCAATAAACATTATAGGCATATTTATGTTTCTTCATGTTGTGATCAAAATATATGTCTGACATTTCTGCAATCTCTGTTGTAAGATCTATGTTTTATGTTTACAGGTAGAAGGTATGTAACCTTGTTTATGCTTGCCTATAATTAATGATTAATGTTTTTATTCTGTTTTGATCATATTGCTTTCTATCTTTTCCTTCTCCTGTGACCTCAATGATTACAGCTTCTCTTTATTATGATAGCTAATATACTTCCACTGTGCACAGCTGACAGGACATGGCCTGTTGCTCCTAATTTAGTTATGAAAACTTATACAGAGTATTTAAAAGCCCAGACAGCGTTTTGTGTACATGTACAAGTCATTGTACATACAATACTTGCCAAAAGCATTCGCTCACCTGCCTTGACTCGCATATGAGTTTAAGTGACATCCCATCCTAATCCATATGGTTCAATATGACATTGGTCCACCCTTTGCAGCTAGAACAGCTTCAGTTCTTCTGGGAAGGCTGTAAACAAAGTTTAGGAGATTTTATGGCGATTTCTGACCATTCTTCCAGAAGTGCATTTGTGAGGTCATGTACTGATGTTGGAGAAGAAGGCCTGGCTCTCAGTTTCTGCTCTAATTCATCCCAAAGGTGTTCTATTTGGTTGAGGTCAGGAATCTGTGCAGGCCAGTCAAGTTCATCCACACCAGACTTTATGGATCTCGGTTTGTGCTCTGGTGCACAGTCATGGTGGAAGAGGAAAGGGTCAGATCCAAACTGTTCCCACAAAGTTGGGAGCGTGGAATTGTCCAAAATGTCTTGGTATGCTGAAGCATTCAGAGTTCCTTTCACTGGAACTAAGGGGCTAAGCATCTGGCAATGCAATGTAAAGTTTGCATTGTGCCAAATTTTACACTTGGCACAATGCAGATTGCCAGATGGAGAAGCGCAATTTGTCACTCCAGAGAACACGCCTCCACCACTCTAAAGTCCAGTGGCAGCAGCTTTCCACCACTGCATCCAACGCTTTGCATTTCACTTGGTGATGTATGGTTTGGATGCAGCTGCTCCACCATGGAAACCCATTCCATGAAGCTCTCTGTGCACTGCTCCTGAGCTAATCTGAAGGCCACATGAAGTTTGGAGGTCAGTAGTGACCGACTCTGCAGTTGTTGACCTCTTTGCACTATGCTGACCCCGCTCTGTTAGTTTATGTGGCCTACCGCTTCATGGCTGAGTGGCTGTCATTACCAAACATTTCTGTTTTCTTAGAAAACCCAGCTGACAGTTGAAACTGGAATATTTAGGAGCGAGGAAATTCCACGACTGGATTTGTTGCACAGGTAGCATCCTATCACATTTCCACACTGGAATTCACTGAGCTCCTGAGAGCGACCCATTGTTTCACAAATGTTTATAAAAACAGTCTGCATGCCTAGGTGTTTCATTTTATACACCTGTGGCCATGAAAGGGATTGGAACATCTGATTCCAATCATTTGAATAGGTGAACAAATGCTTTTGGCAATACAATATAGTATATGTCTGTCGATAGAATAGCTAATTTTACTGAAGCAAGAGTAGCTGCTTCAGTAAAAGCTACTGAAAGATATAAACTATAGAAAGACTATATCTTTCCATAGTCTGCTAGACTATAGAGGAATTGGAGTTCAAGCCTAATAAGTTTTGAGAAGAAAGACGTTTGAAAGTCCTGCTGTCAAACTGAAAATGTGTGCTCTCGAATTATGGCAGAAAGATTTCCCCATAGTAGACTAAGGAATACCAATTTTAGTACGATGCCTCATCTATTTTTCAGAAATGATGTACACACATAAAAATAGAAAATACTGTGTGAATTCTAGGATTTTTGAATAGTTTAGTCAATTTGCATGATTAAAATACAGATCAACAAGCTGAAGAAAGAAAAACACTGGGTCAGTATCAAAATCTCATTTGATTTTGGAGTGGAAGTACCTTATTTAGCAGGAAGAATGCTGTAAGTCTTTCTGTGGCCTCCTTCGTCTTACAGCTGTGTTCACCCTTCTGTTGTAGCTGTCCATGCTCTTCACTGAGGAGTGTGATAAGGTGCGGGACCTGATGCACGTCCACTCCTTCAGCTATGACTTTCACCTGCGTGTGGCTCACCAGTACTTGGTTGGATGCCACATGACACTTCGCCAGGGCTACCAGCTTACGGACTTTCTTGATGACTTCATCTGCCATTACCCAGATATTCCCAAGTTTGGCCGCAATCACATCTTTCAAGGTGATGCATTTCTTGCTGCTTCTAATACAGATGAACATCCACTGTAAATAGTAGGGCTTTCAGAAAAAATAAATTGCTTTATCTTTCAATTATCTACACCAAATTCCACATAATTTTGATGTGGGATTTTGTGAAGTTCATTATTTCAGGTAAAAGTGAAGAAGGAAAGCTATCTTTCCAAAGGACAATTTTATAGTGGACTTAGATGAGATCATTAAAAATCTTATGTGAGAATTTTTTGATGAGACACTATTTCAGTTTTATTTGCCAAAAATATTTTTTGAGTACTAAATCTAGGTAACACTTTATTTGAAGGGGGTTGAATAAGACTGTTATGACACTGTCATAAACATGACATAACACCATGAACATCAATAAGTCTTCATGAATATTTATGACTGTTGTCATAAAGTGTCATTCGGTAAATTATGACACTTTTAATACAAAGTTGACATTATTAAAAATTTCTTTGTTTGACAACTTGACATTAACCAGGAAATCATTACTGTTTAAACTTTACCTTTAATAACATAAAGTTACCTAATTTTTAAAGTGCAATCACTAATACTTTTATAACAAATTTATATCAGTAATGATTTCTTGGTTAATGTCAAGTTGTCATAACAATAATGTCAACTTTGTATTAAAAGTGTCATAATTTAACGAATGACGCTTTATGACAACAGTCATAAATATTCATGAAGGCTTATTGATGTTCATGACAGGTGTTATGTCATGTTTATGACAGTGTCATGACAGTCTTATTCACCCCCCTTCAAATAAAGTGTTACCTAAATCTACATACAGCTGTTGGTCCCGATCCAACAAATAACAAAGAAATTAAAAGCAAAGACACAAAGCTAATAATTTCAATTCGTTTTTCATCATTTTGCAAACGTTGTTGAAACTTAATTTTTATCTACAGAAATCATATTTCCGTCACAATAAAAAAAAATCGCAATGATAATGGTACAATAATAGTCCATGTCAGGAAACGCCATACACTGATCATTTTCTTCACACTGGCATCTTCAAGACAGGCAGTGTGTTGGAAGGAGGGCTAGAAAACAAAAAAGTTGATAATGGCCACAGTAAAGTGGATGATGTAAGCCATTTGATTTCTGACTGAATCTACAGTTCTGTCAGAATGACACTGAAATCAAAAATATGAATGACTTCTTTTAATATCTAATAGCCATAACAATTGGAAAAGTTCCTAAAAAATGTTAGTTATTATTTAAACCCTCCCATTCTCTCGAGTCTCTGAACCTTTGTGGAGGTAGTGAATATGTTTGCTTCATGTTGCATTCCCCAAACGTTAAGGCTTTGATTAAAATGAAACAACGTAAATATCTTACATATTTTTTTGTATTTCTGTAAAGGAAGCTTTTCAGTCTCCACGGGAATAATAACAGCTCACCAGCTCTACAACTATATCACTGACCACACCAGCTCTTACGGCATGAAGCCTCTCCGCATGTCAAAGACTGCAGTTGCTACTGACAACAAGAAAGGAATGGCTGACCTCCATGAATATGCACTGGTGGCTCTGTGGAACAGGTCAAACCACATTCCAGTAAACCCTAAATAAACCGACTCTGTTGATGTTTGACCAATTTTAATGAAACATTCTGTCTGTTCTTGTGGTTTTGCTTCCCATGCAGTTCGGGCTCCTACAAGGACCTGGAGGGCCTCCACCACCATGATGACTTTGACGTGTCTCTGGTAGTGTGCCACAATGCTGTTCCATTTGAGGAGCAGTCAGATGGGGAGAGGCATTTGCTAAGGTAATAATGAGCAATAGAACAGTATATGTTATTATGAGAGAAAATTTTTAAAGCTTATTAACCCTTTTTAAAACTTTTTGACTCGTTAAATCCTCTCTTATGCCCGGATTCAGAAAATGCTGTGCGCAAAGACTGAGATCACACAGAGATATCAGATATCAATAATCAGCATTTATTCAAGACAGACAGATGGATGCTGTCACCACAAGAGCACATCACAAAACTCAAAGCACAAACAACACATGAATTTACCTGAGAGAGAGAAAAGGACAAAAGATGGAAACGACAAACAAAAAGCAAAGACCTCTTTGGAGAGTTGCAAAAGCAAATCTGGTTTGTTCCTCACATGCACAAATTTTTATAGTAAAGGCGTATTCTTCTCTTTAATTTATTCAAATAAGGCGTATCTTTGCTCATCCAACCAGCTGTCTCGGCCCTCTTAAAAGTTAGAAACTCCCTACAATTTCTTTTCAAGATCAAACACCAGTTGTCACCTTTATCTAAACAAAGTGGAAGCAGCGCTTCTCCTCCACTGGCCTGAACTCCTGCTGTTTTACGGCTTTTCACAGATCAGTGTGAAGCTGGAACTTCTCCTGATTGGTTCCCACACAGACAAAAGGCAGATCAGAAGATCTTAGCAATCTGCTGTAGCTACAGGTAACACAAAGATTAGTCCAAAAACTATATTTAGGTTATTTCAATCAAGACATGTTAAGTTTTAAAACTAGCATATTTTAAATTTATTTTCTTAACAATGTATATATGTATGTATGGTGTGTGTGTGTGTGCGTGTGCATGTGTGTATCAGAGGTCACGCTGACTTTTTTATCAGTCATTTCAACCAACATTAAAAAAATCAGTCATGTTCTATTTTTACCTGTCAAATTATAATCACATCAACATCGGCTATTTAGCTGCGTTTGTTTTGCGGTTTAGTCAATATTCACCCAGTTGAGCCATGAACCCAGATTCCTTCACACATAAAGCAGATAAATGTATCTAACTTTTTCTCTGTGACACAAACCACTGACTGTGGCCCCAATAACTTATAATAAATTAAATTAAAGACTCCACTTAAATTACCATCACTTCACTTGCTGTGGTCTGAACGGACAGTCTCTCAAATTCCTCCTGGTCACATCTGCAGAGAGATCTGCACTAGTTCATCAGTCAGTTGGATCTGTCTGATCCAAACCGATCAATTGAACTCTGCGATTTTTTTAACCCTGTGCGTGCTCCGGTGTGTGCTTTTACGAGGATGTTTTTTTTGCGTGCTTTCACTTCCCCGAAATGGAAGTGATGTCCATTTCTGCTGCGCTTTTGAGCGCCGCTCTCCTTTTGGGCGTGGCAGGGTAATCTCTTCCAGCTCCATTTGTTAAAACTGCAGGGTGAGTTAAGTTTAATTCTTCACATCAGCGGAGATGCGTACACATTGGTTGTGCAGCGGACTGCGCATGTGTTACAACCCCACCCTAAAATTCCTAAAGTAAATTCTGGCACTGGGTTTTAACATAAAACGAAAAAAGTAATCCGAACAGTTGATGGATGGGTATAATTTATTTTACAGTCCTGATAAAACAACAACTACAGGAGACATACAAAAAAAACATAGGGGAGTTTAATGCTTCAGGGTCTCCAAGGCCAAAATAATAAACAAAACACCCCCTTATAACTATAAAATAAAACAACCACGTTCTAAAGAAGAACTAAAGGAAAATACAAAACCTAAACTCCCTTACTAACCAAAAAACAGGAGAAAACAGTTCATAACAAAAATGGCAGAGAACCCCTACCAGCTTCCACCTCTGAACAAAAACACTTCTTGAACAATTGTTCACAAAGATGCTCACAGCAAGCTCAGTTCCCACACAAAATCAGATCCCACACAGGATCACAGATCAAACAAAAGGAGGGATCTGGCATCTCCAGCTTGCTGCTTATATAGGGCAGCTGACGAGCCCCAACACATTTCACCTGCAGCAGTCAGGCAGAACGAAACAGAAAAACACAGGGCTCTCTGAGATAGAGAGCCCCTAGAGGTCGGTGACCGTAACAGCATGTTATGGTCTAATTTATTTATTTCCTAAAGATAAACTGCTGGCTCCTCTGTTTAGACTATAACTGAATTAACACAACATTGCATTATCTTTAGTTTTCTCTGTTCTTTAATGGAGACTGAAATTAAACGCACCATTTCAACCAAAGTTTTGGAACGTGCTTCCTAACCAGACTCTCCAAAGCTCGGTCATTCTCCACCACCTTTGGGGGTGTTCCCCACTTCCCACTTTGATCTCGGGGCTTCCAGTCCATATTCTGGACTTCATACTTGGCTATATATATATATA